ACTCTGCACTTCTGGTCACTGCTCTGTTTTATTTATGCATGTTCAGGAAGCCTTCAGAGTGCTTAAAACAGATCAGACTACTTGAACTAATGAGAATGGATGCATCTCAGACTTAAAAATGGTAACTCAGGTAATTTTTCTTATAAGTATGCAAGTGTCCTTACACTGTGACTTTACAAAGAAGGGTCCCAAGTAAACAGCTGATCTTGTTTGTTTTGTTGTCGTGTGATTGCAACATCAGCCTATGATTAGAAAGAAGCGTGAAGAAATAGGAAAGTTGCATAAAGGGCTTCTTGATGCCATCGCCACTTTAAGATTCAAGCTGCTGAGCTGACCTTTAGCATGAAGCAGAAGTTGGTGGGAGCTCTGTACTTCTGTTTGTAGTTCTTGGTCATATAGATGTTGATCTTTTCAAAATGGACAAAGCAGGCGAGATCAGTGGACGACTGGAATATAGAAAACAACAGGATATTATGACACTATGGCAGATAGATACATAGAACAAAAGCTCAGACGTTGGCTTCCTTATAAAAGAACAAAATGTTTGTGATTTTGTCACATTGTTTAGCAGCGCTTGTGGTAGGTATTAAAATCAAGGCAGATGGCCTTTGATGCAAATCCACGAGTTCATACTCACGCTCAGTACCATGGAAATTATACTGTTAATTTCCCTTTTTTTAATTTCAGTGTTCAACACATCATGTTCACACATGTCAAAAGATGTTAATCTTCAGCTGAAACTTCAAAGTCTCACTTCTTGGCACTGTAGATGACCAACGGATGACGGCACAGTACTTTACTTCTTCTTTTTGCTCTTATTCTCATGTAGACACATAAGACACACACGTCTGCTCCATCCATGTCTCCTTAAACGATTCCTTTTATGTCTGTGATTTGCACATCTGCCTCGCACAGTGTTGCGAATTCTTTCACTCGGATGATTTTTAGTTGTCAAGCCGGGACGGGCGGTGTTTGTCTGCTCCGTTTTAGTGACAAAGACGACATGTTTCCCTTTAGCGTCGGCGAGGCAGCAATTCAAATTGTCCATCTTCATTTCTCCAGCTATTCCTCGTGTCTTTCCAGCTCTGTGATGCTTGACTGCTCAGATGGATGCCATTATGCACTTCACACGCAGGCGAAACATTCTTGGATTGTTGTTTATTGGCTGCTCTCATACTTGTTTTAACAATTCGATTTAGTTCAAGTTTAGTTATATAGCACAAAATCTCAACTACAGTTGCCTCAAGGTGCTTTCTATCGTAAGGTAAAGACCCCACAGTAATACAGGGAAAAATGAGCAAGCACTTGGTGACAGTGGGAAGGAAAAACTCAGTTTTGACCAACATGTTCAGCTTTACACATTTACGATCAGCAGTCCTTCTGTAAAGCTGAATAAATGGGATGTGAACTGCCTGGCACTAAATCAGGTGAAAAACATTTTACGAAAGCTGTACATGAGCAAGATTCTGATGATGTTTGTTAGTCAACTCAATTGCTGTATGTGTGTAGAAGTGATCTAAATAAGACTTTGCTACATCGTACATGACATGCAGTAGCAGTGAACTGAAATATGCACCTGAACTGTTGCTAAAAAAAAAAAAGAAAGCAGGGCTGCGTCATCACTAAGATGGTTTTGTTTTTAGTAAATTCACATGAGATAAAATCAGACGATAGGTGTGCACTGCAGCAACTCTTATTTCCAGTTAGAAAGACACTCCTTTATCTGCCTGCTTTACCAGGTGTTTGGCTGCTTTTCTGTTCTTTACCTCACGACCGCTTTCCCACGCTGTCGATCTCAATACTGACATCATTACTCTAGTCCAATCATCTTCTTGCCCACCTTCTTTGAGCCAATAAGCCCCCAAGTGATCTCTCCTCATTGAACTGGCTTTTACATTTAAGTAATAAACAGTAAAACGTCTCTGACTAAGGCTCTTGTGCTTACAACATGATGTGCCTAAAAAGCTGCATTCTATCTGAAGGCCACCAGATGGCGACAGACGTGTTTGCAAAAAGTCTGTGGAAACAGCTTTCTGAATTAACCTCTATAAACACTCCTGCTGAGTTCGTGGGTCATCATTTTGGGTCATGCTGAATAAAAAATTAAGTCTATTTTGTAAATCTTGATCATATTATATTTCATAATGAAGGACTTACTGGAATGAAACCACTTGCAAACTGGTTAACAACTTGTTGTTAGCAAGCAATGGAGGCGTGGTGGTTGCCTCATAGCAACAGTGCTGGGTTCAAATCCAGCATCTGTGTGGATGTGTGTCTTTGAGCTGTGGGGTTAGGTTAACTGGTGCCTGTCTCTCTGTGCTGGCCCTGTCACAGACTGGCCTATCCTATCGCAGGATACTGATGGTAGCTGGGGATAGGCTACAGCTCTGGTGACTGTGAATTGGAAGATATATACACAACATACATACAACAAAAAGTTATATGTTCTGGAATTCAGTGCAACTATCACAGTATCTACATGTAGCTTAAATATTTACAGCAGTTTAGGTTTGAGATGAGACAGGCCTCATTGAGATCAGCTTCGCCTAAAGCTGAGCAGCAGAAAACAGCTAGCCTGGTGTAAGCTGTAGAAATGATTTTGCTCACTCAGGTTGCTAAACCTGTTTTCTTTTAAGCAGCAATACAAATAGAAACTTTGATTTGCTATACCTTTGTTTTTCCTTTGGGCACAAAGTAGATGCCCGAAGCCCTGAGCACAAAGTAGCGTGGTTTCCAAACCTTCTTCCCATCTTCTTTGAGGTAAAGTGTGCCCTCTAAGTCGGGAACGATCAAAGTCGAACCCCCGAAATTCTCCTGCAGCGTCAGAGGAATGGCATGAAATGCAAAACTGAAACGTGACACCATCAATGAGATGCAAAAATGTGGCACTGCGACTGACCTTGACAAGGAGATCTTTAGCCTGCTGGTTAATCGCACTCAATGCTGCCTTATCCTTTTTCCACATGTAAAATATCTTCACGAGATGAGAAAAGCACAGTTTACTGACTGAGCATTATAACATATAATCACACTTCACCAAGAAGCAGGTGCTCTGTTACCATATTGCTCACCTGAGGGTCTGTGAACATCACATACTTTTGTGGTCTTGGCAAAAAGTAGATTTTGTTTTCACTGTACCGAGTCCAAGCAGACAGTGGTTCCACCAAATGTTCATGATCCTCAAAGGTTCTTTCTGAAATAATGGACAAATAAAGCAATTTAGGGATGAACACTCCACAAAAAA